GGATGTGAGCTCCAAAATGAGAAATATCGAATTGGGCTAGGCAGTGTTTTCCTAACTGTGGAAGTATTGACGATAGAAACTTTTCCTATTCCTAGTATGATTAGGTTATGCGTCGTTAATAACAAAATAACAACAGTATAAATAGAAAATTTTCCTTTTCCTAGCATGAATACATCTTAACCAAATAGTAATAATTATAAGATCTTTAAAAAACAAGTAGAAAATCTACTTTTTCTTAGAGTCACATCAGTGACTATTAAAAAATTATATTTGTTGTTATTGGATAACTTAGAAACACAATAATGAGTATTAAAAAATATACTTGTTATTAGTAGATAGAATAAATGAATTGCTTGTCGTTTTATTCTTCAAGTCTTTTTAATTGTAGAGAATGGAAAATCTTACCTATTCTTTCCCTCTTTTAATTCTAGGTCAGATCAATGGGGCACCCCTTCTTTCCTCTCTTACGAATCCCTACTCTCTTCCCATCATGTATCTTTATCTCTCTATTTGTCGCAAAAAGAAAAAGAACAAGTCACATCAATTTGCGTTTTCTTTCATTTTCTTTTTTTTTTTATTATTTTCTTTCCTTCTCTCTTTTCTTATCTCCCCCTCCTCTACGAAAAGGCAAAGAAAAAAAAGAACAAAAGTCATATCAATTTGTGTTGTCTTTGTATTTTATATCTAATTTTGTTTCATATTCCTTACTCTCTCCTCTAACTCTTCACACCCACCCATTCATCTCCATCTCTCATTCTCTATTGTTGCTGGAAGAAGAAGAACTAGGAGAAGAAGAGTGAGAAGAAGGAAAACACTTCTAGATTTATTATGCTCTTCTCCTTTTGATATATATTCTCCAAAATAAGGTCTACGTCCGTCTCTTTCTGTAGTTGCGATCTCTCAAACGTTCTATCTTCTATTTCCTCTAACAAGTAGAAAATCTAATGTTCCTTAGAGTCACATCACTTACTATTAAAAAATTATATTTGTTGTTAGTGGATGACTTAGAATCACACTAATGAGTATTGGAAATATATTTGTTATTTGTAGATAGCTTAAATGATTTGCTTGTTCTTTTTTTTGCCTGTCGTTTTATTCTTCAAGCATTTTTAATTCTAGAGAATGGAAGCCCTCCCTATTTTTTTCCTCTTTTAATTCTAAGTCAGATAAATGAGGGACTATCTCCTTCTTCCCTCTCTCACGAATCTCTACTCTCTTCCCTTCATGTATCTTTATCTCTCTATTTGTCACAAAAAGAAAAAGGAAAAGTCACATCAATTTGGATTTTCTTTTCTTTGTTTTTTACTTTTTTTTAATTCTTTCCCTTCTCTCTCTTCTTACCCTCCCACTTGCAGTGACTGAAAGTGCATAAAGAAACATTTTACACGAGCTTATTGTCAATTTAAAAATTGCTCTTCAACTTACTAATCTTTTGATGACAGAAGTTAAAGTGTTAATACTCAATTTGTCAGCATGATGCATGCTAATACTGATTCAATCCAATAGAAAATGACAAACCATAAATATTATAAAGGATGAAAAATAATAAATTCTTATTATTAATGATGAAATAACTTTTTTATAATGATAAACTAATTTTTTCACAAGTAAGCTGTTGTATTTTTTTTTATACATGGAAAATAGGTTAGAGTTGGAATGCAGTGAGTAGAAAAATCAAGAGGGAAAAAGAGTATGTAACTATTATATAATGTAGTTACTATAATACTTCTAATAATTATATTAAGCATGACACTAATAATTATAAAATATGTAGGGATGTCAACAAAACCCGAACCCAAGGGTACCCACCCGACCCAACCCGGTCAACGCGGGTAAAACCCGTGTTGACGGATTTTGGGTCGGGTTCGGGTTTAAACCCGCTACACTATTCACTGGGTCGGGTTTGGTTTGGGTTTAGGTAAACCCGCCCCATGGGTACCCGCTCACACACATATAATTAATGTCTCGGTATATTTAATATTTTAAATAATATATTTTCCTTAAACAACTAATATTCTTTATGTTTGTGGAGACATGTATAATTTGTTCTTTCTAATTGTTTAGAATGAAGTTGATATTATGAAGTGAAGAGTGAAGAAACTTAGTTGACGAGGAAGAAGCTTTCAATTAATCTTATTGTTTATAGGGGTCGTTTGGAAGTTGCGATTGTTAAATAGATGTATTGTTGAGAATGCATGTATAATATTATACATGTATTGTCGAATTTGATGCATTGTAGAATACAACGTTTGGTATGTGTGATTGTGTATGTCGCATCAGCTAAAAGCTGAGACAAAACAATCTCAACTCAACTATCTCAACAATCACAACGAAAAGTTGAGATATAACAATCACTCAAAATGAGTGATAGTTTCTATCACATCACAGAAACAATCCATGTATTGTTTCTGCTAAAAAAACGATGCATTGTAAACAATACATTCATAATGACAATCTCAACAAAACTATCGCAACTTCCAAACGACCCCATAGATGTTTATCTTTAATTTTGAACAATTTGTATATATCATTTGCAGTTTGCTTGTATGCTCTAGATTGGTGTTTTTTGTATGAATAATTTGTATGAGAAAATTGATGTTAAAAAAACCCTTAAAAAAGAGCAGAAACTAGAAACTCAAATTTAATTTGGGTATCTTGTCTGTTGTCACCCCGTTTTGTGTCTTGTCTTTGTAGCCCTTGGATCTACGATCGAACGGTTATAGGACACTGGTAAAAATCTGCCTAGAATTGGTCCTCCTTAGCTATTTAAGTAACCATAGTTCCCTTGCCCTGATTCCCATCATCTCTCCATCTTACCCAAAGCTCACACTCACACGACGAAAGGATGAAAAAACAATGAGAAACCGAATCCCCTTCTCCTTCTTTGTTTTCGTCTTCAGCGGATTCCTGTTCATTCTAACACTCGTGTTGTTTTCTCAAATTACCCTTGCCGCCAGGCAGCTAGCATCTTCCTCGCAAATGAGTAAGTAACGAATTTGTTATGGTAGCTAGCTTTCTTTTTCGATAAATAATATTAATTACCACATTCGTAATAAAAATTTGAGATAATTGTGATACATATGCATGTGTTTGTAAGCGGCGGCGGCGACGAGGCAAACAACGGACAAAGCAAAGGTGGTGTGGTCAGAAGCCAATCGTGGAACTCTGGTTCGGCCGCCGGCGACAGTTACCCTACCGGAACCGCCGGGATGCCGGCGGCCGCCTCTACAACGACAACGACGACTCACTCCGTTACGTACGCTGCCACAAGTCAGCCCAACCGTACTATTTCTAGTAATTGTAACCGAGGTGATTATTATTGTTTAGATAAAATAGGACAAAGAAGAATCTACAACTCCTCTTCAAGGCACAACCGATAGAGGACACTATAGGCCATAGTAATCAATTAAGTTTTGTCTTGTTTTTTTTTCGATTGTTAAATTCACACCAAAACATCTGTCATTATTGTACTATATGTTTATTTTAATGAGTTTCGGTTATATCGTTTGAAACATGTTACTCTAAAATACCATGTATGAATCTATACCACTTCCTAAGAAACTGTTACTCCAAAATGTCTTTTTATAGGAAACTGAAGTATTGTCGACTTTAGTCTCTTGTTGGGTAGCAGAAGACAGAAGCCGTCAACGGAATGTTCATGTATAGTTATTGATAAGGAACATGAATTTTCATCATATTCCAACTTCTATTCTGTACCATACAATGTAAATAAATTAAAGAATACTTGACCCGCAATAGGGTCAACGCAACCAAGGCCATTAAGTAGGGCAAACGTACGTGAAGGGGATCAGTAGGAGACGAAGGAAGGGAGAAGACCAAAACAGGGGGAAAAGGAATGCGAAAATCTTTAGGCTAGAAACCCTAGTTAGGCCGAGCTCCTCATGTTATACGTATGAGCCTAGGATACGTGCATGGACCAAAACCCATAACTCAACAAATAATTCACATACACGTTTGACTTCTTTCACAAGGAAGCTTTCTTTCGAATTCTTTCCAAATTTTCTTGATGGTTTATTTTTTACAATTTTGAAGCTCAAAAAGAAAACTATATATTGCAATAATTTGATAGTCGTTAATTAAATTCAGCTCCACCAAAGGTAAGATAGCCTAACGGTAAAGCTGCCGCAACAGTGAAGGCTTGGGAGTTGCAGATCCCAGGTTCGAATCTAAGCGAGGCCCGTTGGTGTTCCCGGAGGTACAAGGCTGCTGGGGGCGAAGCCCCGTTGGCATCAAATTAAATGCAGGTGGCCCCCAGGTTTAGTAGGACCCGCTGTCACAAAGTGGCACGTGGGGCTGAGGTTCCTGGGTATAAAAAAAAAAAATAAATAAATAAATTCAGCTCCGAACAAATCTAGGAGTGAACAAATATGTGTGCTCTCTCTTCCAAGTCCTTAGAAAAAGATTGTTACCTATATAGAATACTGAATAAGGTTGTCAATTTAAAATTATAGTAAAATTAGTTTACTAAGTCCCATATGAAAGTGAAAAAGTAATGTGATACATTGATCAGCCTCACATTATTACATAAATTACCTTATTACCTTAAATAGTTTATGATCATTATTTTTATTATTAATTTTCTGATTAGAGAAAATAGTTGTATATTGAATGCTCAAATTTTCCGAAATCCTCTGCAAAAATAATGCTTCTATTTAAATCTATTAATTATATTACCACTTCCGATGCGCGCTAAGCGCCCTGTTTAAATTCCAAAAAAAAAATATTACCACTTCCAACCAATTCATCTTATTCCTAGATTAATGGAAAAGAAGTTACGGTAGATTCTATAATTCAACAACAAACTTGCTCACGTGCATTGATCTTCACCTATAAGTAGGCAAACTCAAGGTCTCATATGGAGTGATCAATTAAACATAGAAACAACAATGTGGATGAGAAATTATTTTTTTGTTGCCTTTCTAGTATTAACCCTAGAAATTTATTTGAGTAAGGGTTTTTGGATCGATCCAGGGTACTGAAAAACATATGTGGTGGTGTGGAATGAGCTAGAAGGAGGGCAGGAATTGAAACTTCATTGCAAATCCGGAGACGATGATCTCGGGCTCCGAGTGCTAAAGCCAGACAATGGCTTTAAATGGACATTCCGTCCAAATTTTTGGCACACCACACAATTCTATTGTACCATGCAATGGGGAGACGGAAAGATTCATCGGTTTGACATCTACATTTGGAAGAGGGATTATGAGCGTTGTGGCCATTGCCAATGGATCGTTAAGGAGAGTGGACCATGTTTTTTTGACCCCGCAGCTCATGCATATGACATTTGTTATGGATGGAAGCCATGAGCATAATGAAATAGGATAAGATTAGATTTAGGGGTCGTTTGGATGAGAAATTGTAACGGATCAATTTGACACAATTGTCTCATTTTGAGACAATTGTACCAAATTGCCTCGTTTGCCAGCAAAATATTTTGATGGATCAATCTGCCTGAGGTATTTTGAATTGACCCGTTTTGAGTCAATTTCAATTACCTAAAGTGGGGGCAGGTAATTCGAATTGACTCGTTTTAATTGTCTCGTTTATAAAACGAGACAATTGATCAAATTGACTCATTTCTAGATTGATCCATCCAAACGACCTCTTAATTTTCAAAAATAAGTTATGTAGTTTCTTCGTATTTTTTTCAAACATCAAGGATGTTATCTTTCTCTCATTTCATGTGAGAGAGAATTTTGGATGGGGTTTGTAATAAGTTGGTAATTTGTTCAATATTCTAAACATTATGTTTGGTTTTTGTTTTGATCAATTGTCTTGGTGATTATATATTACTAGATTGTATGTGCCACCCTTTGCAGTGGCCATTGGGTATGTGGTTATTAGTTTATTACTAAATCAAGCAGTTCGAGACCCATAATTAGCTAAAATAATTTTGAGAAAAAAATATTATTTTCTTGAAAAAGAGATTTTTTCCTATAAAGTTAGTGACCAATAATGCAATAAAAAATTAATAACAAATGTGAAACAAATTAATAAATTGAGTATTCAGGTGCAGAGATGACAATTACCCATCTATGGGTAATTTTACTCAAACCCATGGAGTATGTGTAGAGTTAGTATGAGTGAAGTATATATGGGTTTGAAATTTTGTATATGGGTTTGGGTAGGGTATGAATATTGCTTTTATGTTCTAAATGGGTATGAATGTGTGAATACCTAAATACCCATTTAGTTTGTTTTAACTATACACATAAAAATGGGACCTATTTGTAAACCATAAAGTTTGTAGGTATGAAAATGTAATAAACAACAAATTTATGTACTAAAATGTAATTCCATTGATAATTTAACGACTTGTATGAAAAAGGTACTAAATCTAAATATCTATTAAGTTTATGTAATAAAATATAATTTTTCGTACAGGTATAGGTACATACCCAAATTCATGGATGAAAAATTCAACCTAACCACGAACAAGGGCTTGGTCTAGTGGTAATACCACTAGCCTAGAACCTGGAGGTCCCAGGTTTGAATCTCTTAAGTGGTACCTTAATCACAAAAAAGAAACCTATATCATCCTTATAAAAAAAAAATCAACTCAACCCAAATAAATAGGCCTACCTATTTACCATATAATTGGATTTTACACTCAACCTAATTTGATTAGATAGTAAAATACTACTGGATTTGAGCAAAATTGGCATCCCTATCCATGTGTAGTAATCAATCATATTTAATTAAAACCTCACGTGTAGTAATCAATCATATTTAATTAAAACCTCACACAGATGAAAAACTAAATTGATAAGCCAAAGTCTCCCACGTAGGTTAATAAAACGCAACAAAAGAAGGGGGGGGGGTTATAGGTTAAGTATATGATTGAGCTATACTCTTTCTATTTCTCACTTTACCACATAATGATATAGAGTTGGTAGATCATGAAAAAATTGACAGTACTGTGTGATTAGTAGTACTCTTACCCAACACTAAAATGGGTTTCTCTTTATATTTAGTAACTAGCTTATGACCCGGCCCGTTGGCCGGATTACTGTATGTTACCCACTTGTGGAATGGGAGAGAAAGCAAGTTAGAGTGAAGGGATTGAGATTCCACTTGATTAAGACCGACCCACTAATCTGATCCTTCCTGACCCGCCCCAACCTAAAGGGTCAGAAAGAGTCAATAAGAAAATACGAACGGGGAGGATTAGTCATATATCTTGACTCTTCAGAAGTGGGTCAAATAGGATCAAGGTTGGGTGAGCGCAATTTTTAGCGCTAAGCAGAATTTTGGGTTGAATAACTTTACTTAGGCCTAGAAATTGGTGCTGATGCAGACTGCAGTTTTTATTATACCATCATCAATCATCATTGAGTCCTGGGCATCTCCCCGTTGTCGGTCTGAATTCTAATGATGGCTTCATTCCTTGCACCAGCCATATTAGCGAGTTGTCATCTCGAGCATGATTTGCCTATGTACAAATGATACAATTAGAGTATGAAACTGAATTCATAGAAAAGGAAAAGAGAATTCTATCACATGCCAATAAATACACACATAATAGTTGAAGCTAAGTGAAAGTCATTACTCGCACATCAATTCTCAAAAATTACAGACTAAATAATGGCTAGTTAGGCACTGAAACTACCAAGAATCATGGATGAAACACCTTGTCAAATTAAATAATCCTTATACTGAAACTACCTTCTAACTTGAAATAAGACATGATCACAGTTCATAGCTCTCTTCTCACTATGAATTGGTTGCAACTCGTCCTTATCACTGCCTCCCAAGCTCAATTCAAACAGAATAGAGACCGTTATGTAAGATAACCATATCCTTACTGATCATAATTCCTTTCTTCACTCCATTTTTGTCGGAGAAAAGAGTTATCCCCCTCTCCTGCATTTCCCTTTCCCCCTCTCTTCTCCCTCTTCTTCATAAATCGATCCCTAAACCAGCAACAACAACACAAAAATAGCCTTCGCCTCTGCCATATCCATCTACTGAACGCGTTGGTGGCAAGACAGGACTGCAGAAGCAAAATTTTCTAAAATCAAACTAAATTTTTTGAAGGAGACTCAACCACTAAAAAAGAGTAAAGCAACAATGCTAATAGTTCAGATGGTTGGTTTTGATGTTATACGTTGCTTTTGTTCTGGTCTCCAGTATATCAACTGCAACAGATATGTTTCCTCCAATCATCTTTAGTGCACGATTTAGAAGCAAGTCCTCCTGTTTGTGTCAAACGGAAACATTCATGGGTTCTTTAACTCCCCTGTTAGTGTAAATGCAGCAGCAACAAAGAAGTTTGACAACACAGCAAGCACCCAGGCAAAATGATACAATGCAGTAGGTGATATGTGTCTCGAAGGTTTTGAGTTACTAAAGTTCATGTTAAAAATAAACATGAATTAAAATGGATTATTCTATTAAGCAAACATCCCCTCTAATCATACAAAGATCAGATATCCAATTCACAAACAATTAAGCCATTAAAAATCATCACACATCCACCACCTTTGATTGCCTAAATTTGGTTTTTCACAAAGTTATGGACTCTTAAGGGTAACGTTCATGGGTAGTCTGTTTCATAACTCTAGAGAGCACAGTAAGCAGCCACCAGCCAGACACAGTGCGGTAGGCGAATATGATTCTCAATTCAAAATTTCTCACCACCAGAAGTAAGAACAGACCATAATAAGCGTAGCGTTCATGGGTGGTCTGTTTCATAGCACTACTACACAATTTGTTAAAAAAGAAAGAAAGGTATTTAGCATCATGGCGGAACAACTTTTACAGGCCAACAACGACAACGTGCTGCAACCACCAGAACTGGTATCACAACTCATAGGGAAAATCAAAAGATTTACTCTCAAATGAAGTAGTTACAACATCGAGCAATCGTCAAGCACATACACCATCACAAAAGTCACGGAACCTGATTCACAAAGCATTCAAACATTTGAGGACATTTCTGCAAAGGTACAACTTATATGTCTTTTTTCCAAGCCATTTCCATCAACATGCTAATAAATTTGCAATGCATAAAACAAACGGGCCAAAACATGAAATTCAGCCTGTTTGACCGACCCATGCCAAATTCTAATTATTCTTTACTTTTAAACTTTCTATTTGAAAATAAAAAATAGTGAAAGAAAAGAAGACTACAATTCGCCATTTTCACATCACTAATTCGGGAATAAAACCATAGAAATTCAAAAGGAACTGAAAATTTTTAGGATCGTTTTAATGTTTAAAATAACCAAATAGATCTTTATGTTTAATTTTTTACTAACAAATACCAAATGATTCTCTATAAAATACACTATAATTTGGTCATTATGATATCAAATAATTATAAAATACATATTTGAAATGATAAAAATTGGACTAATTGGGTTGGTCGAGGTTGAACCATTGAATAACTTTAAAATACATTATATTTTAGCCACTAAGATCTAAAATAATAGCATAATATATATTATGCCAGAGAAAATAGCTTGTTTTAGAATGTCAAACCAATGATGTTCATTTGTTTTACTTGATGGCCAAATCCCATGTAAGTCATGCCCATTCAACTCTTTTATTTTATGGTTAGAAGTTAGCCCATTAGATACCATGCATTAATTTATTGTTAAATTTTTTATTTTTAACAATAAAAAGGAGTATTATTTTTGCCTTTTCATATATATTTTATCACCACGGAGAAATAAAAGGGCTTAAAGAAAAAAATTTGACACTCCTAGACCCGTTTAAATTTGCATGTGTGGGTAAGTTGGCCCGTTCCACAGAGGAAAGAGAAAAAAATTGACACTCCCTATTCTACCCTTCCTACAAACGCTTCTGGAGCAAGGAATTTGAAATGGGGGAATGTTTTTTTCCTCCCTGCTATTATATGTTTTTAATTTAAAAAGATACAACAAATGTACTTAGTGTGATTGGTTATTATCTTTGCTTTTCTTTAAAATGGTCATGGTTCAAATCCCAGTACGTGTCTTCTTAATGAATAAAAAAAGTAATTGTGAAGACCAAAATGTCCTTCCTAGAAACGCTCTGAGCGTCAGAAATTTGAAATGGTGTGTGGATTTTTGGCTTCCAGCTTTTATAAAAGGTGTAGACTAGATAGGCAATGGCACGAGGTTGGTTTTATAGTTTTTGTTAGTTAGCCGTGTATCATTTTTTTTTTTGGTGAGAACAGGGCGCTAAGGGCGCCCTAACCTTTATTCCGTACGAATCAAACGGGGAGTTTGTTTCCCCAAAGTTTCATAGTACAACCAGTAAGCCAGATTACTACTCGGGCTGTTAACAATATGGTACCCAATCGGAGCCGAGTGGCCCACAG